CAGTACATGAGACAATACAGTAACAATACAATACACGAGGGGTTTGAGGGCCCTGCTCTTTTGAGCTTACAATCTAGGAGGGAGGGGATAGTGGTACAGGAGGAAATGGCTGTGGGGGATGGAGTGGTAGGCAGAGTGGAGGAGATCAGCAGTTAGGTGAGGGCGGGGTAGGATTCCCTGAAGAGATGGGTTTTCAGGGTGCCCTAAAGGTGAGGAAGGTAGGTGACAGCCTGATAGATTGGGGTAGTGAGTTCCAGAGGATGGGGGAAGCCCTGGAGAAGTCCTGGAGTCAGGCATGGGAGGAGGAGACCAGAGTGCTAGAGAGTAGAAGGTCTTGTGAGGAGCGAAGAGTACATGTTGGGTGGTATTTGGATATCAGGTCGGTGAGGTAGTTTGGGGCAGTTTTATGAATAGCTTTGTACGTCAGTGTTAGTAATTTGAATTTTATGCGTTGGGCAATCGGAAGCCAGTGGAGGGAATGACAGAGGGGGGTGGCGGATACGGAGCGGTTGGTAAGGTAGATGAGTCTGGCCGCAGAGTTCAGGATAGACTGAAGCAGGGATAGCCTGTGATGAGGTAAGCCGGTGAGGAGGGAGTTACAGTAATCGAGTCGTGAGATAACAAGGGAGTGAATAAGTTGCTTTGTAGTTTCTGGGGTTAGGAACGAACATATTTTGGAGATGTTGCAGAGGTGGAGCCTGCATGAATTTGCCAGCAATTGGACATGGGGCTGGAAGGACAGATTGGAGTCTAGAGTTACACCTAGAACTTTGGCTTGCGGGGTGGGACTGATGGTGGCGTTATTGGTCGTGATGGAGAGGGTAGGGGGGGGCGCGGGGTGGGGGGAAAACTAGGAGCTCAGTTTTGGAAAGGTTTAATTTGAGGAAATGGAGTGACATCCAATCTGATATGTCGTTCAGTAGGCAGGTGATTCGGGCAGAGACGGAAGGGGTAAGGCGAGGGGTAGAGAGGTAGATTTGCATGTCATCGGTGTAGAGGTGGTAGTTGAAGCCGTAGGAGTGTATCAGCTGGCCAAGGGAGGAGGTGTAGATGGAGAAGAGGACAGAGCCTTGAGGGACCCCAACAGAGAGGGGGAGAGAGGGGGAGGTGGCAGCGTTATAGGTAACACTGAAGGAGTGCTGGGATAGATAGGAGGAGAGCCAGGAGGGAGCGGAGTCTCTGAGGCCAAGAGAGTATAGTTTTTTAAGGAGGGAGGAGGGGTGGTCAACTGTGTCGAAGGCCGCGGAGAGGTCGAGGAGTGTATATATATATATATATATATATATATATATATATACACACACACACACACATACATACATACATTTTTGCTTTATTGCACCATCCTTATTTGGTATCCACTTCTAAACAGCCAGGTAGTTAAGAAAGAAGTATGGGGTTTACAAAAAAAAAGACATTATACTCGTCTAGGTGGATGCACCTTTGATCCAACGCTGCTTTTGTTCCCCCACTGGCTCTGCAGTGAGAACTGAGTGATCAAAGACCGCAGATCGCTTAGTTCCCCCCTCTGCTGTAAGCAGAGAGCCATGACTGTCAGTTCCTTGCTCTCTGCTCTGCCCCTCCAGCGCTCACTGGAGTGCTAGGCTGTGGAGAGGGTGGGAGGGGCTGGCTCAAGCTCTTGGTGGATCAGAGAGAGGATAAACTAGGTGCTGGTCCAAGCTTCTGGGTGGATCTTAACCATATGGTTGGAATCTTTGCAGACTCTGGACCGGGTGAGAGATGTCAGCCGACAGCAGGCTTTAGCTCGCTGTTGACTGAAACCAGGTCACAGGAGTGCAGAACAAACTGCACTCCTGTGATCCATAGGAAAATTATAGCCTTCAAATCATGCTCATGTATAAATAAAATCACACCCACAAAATATAGGCCATGTTCATAGTTTATAAGATGCACACTCACATTTTATGAAAAACAAAAAGTGGAAACCCTAAATAAAGAATTTATTTCATCTGTCTTTGTCTCTTTCTCTCTCTCCCACTATATGCATACACTTTTCATTGGCATAAGTTTTTCACTGGGAACCAGGCATAGTGCCACAAAATAGGAAAATCTGTATAATTAGATGTTATCAACTCTTTATTTCATATATCCTATAAACAGTATGTATACAATGCAAATATATACAGACACACAGTGTTAAAAAATACATATTTCCAAGCCACTGAATTGTACTGATGTTACCCTGCTAATGTTGGCACATTATGTATAGTAAATAAAAAACAAAATGTGCAGCACCAAAAATGCTACATGTAAATTGTATATAGCAATTTGCAGTCACAAGATACGAGTAAATCATATGATACCATTAAGAACTGTAAAGTATACAATATTAGTAGTAATAACATACAACAATAAGCACCAAAAGTGCAAAATGACTAATAAATAATAAAGTCCATTGACTGCTGAACAAAAATCAGCGACAACCATCCAGTGGTGACACCTCTTCTGTGGGACCTTCACCCCTATGCACTCACCAAAAATCTGGCAAACATATGCCCAAAATGATAAGATCTGTGACGGCCTCCTTCACTCCTTCCTGATAGCGTACTCCAACAGAAGTAGCCGAGATGCAACTTAATGAAAAAGTGTTTACAGTTCCATTTTTCACAAGTGGACAATCATTCCAAGATAGTGGATACTGGAATGACTGGAACAAGTAGAATATGCTCCATCCAATGATGACATTATAATAAAGGCCCACAAAGAAGCAAACCACATAGCTAGCATAGTCAATCCCTCCAAGACGTGAACATATGTAATTCCACACACCAATGCTACCTCTACGAATTCTTTGTCCCACAGCCAGCTCAAGGAAGAAGAGAGGGATGCCAATCTAAATGAGCAGAAACAGGTATGGTACCATATATGCTCCTTAGCCTTTGGTAAATTTCTTAGAAAGAAATGTAGAATTCCCTGGAATGTAGATAGAAGAAAGAGGAGCCAGTAGGAAGCATATTACCAGCTGATCTCATTAGTGTTCAGAACTTTAGCTCTGAGAAAATAATCAGTATGTATTTTATGAAAACAGGCAGGGATCTGGAATTAAGGAGATTCCTTACTAATTTTCATAAAGCAACTGAAAAGCTGAGTTCTTTATTTGCGCTCATTTGAAGATGAAATAAAAAGAAATAATGTGCAAATATATACAGTTGCAAGAAAAAGTATGTGAACCCCTTTGGATTACGTGGAGTTTTGCATGAAGTGGGCATACAATGTGCTCTGAACGTCATCTAAGTCACAACAATAGAAGAACACAGTCTGCTGAACATAATACTACACAAACATTAGATGTTGCCATGGTTTAATTGCACATAACATGTAAACATTCACAGTGCAGGGAGGAAAAAGTATGTGAACCTTTGGACTTAATAACTAGTTGACCCTCCTTTGGCAGCAATAACCTCAACCAAACGTTTCCTGTAGTTGCAGATCAGACCTGCACAACGATCTGGAGTAATTTTGGACCACTCCTCTTCACAAAACTGTTTCAGTGTAGCAATATTCTTGGGATGTCTGGTGTGAATCGCTCTCTTAAGGTCATGCCACAGCATTTCAATCGGGTTGAGGTCAGGACTCTGACTGGGCCACTCCAGAAGGCGTATTCTGTGCTGTTGCAGCCATTGTTTTGTTGAATTACTTGTATGCTTTGGGTCATTGTCCTGTTGCATCACCCATCCTCTGCCGAGCTTCAATTGGCGGACAGATGGTTTTCCTGCAAAATGTCTTGATAAACTCTGGAATTAATTTTCCCATCAATGACAACAATCCGTCCAGGCCCTGAGGCAGCGAAGCAGCCCCAAACCATGATGCTCCCTCCGCCATGTTTTACAGTGGGGATGAGGTTTTGATGTTGGTGTGCTGTGCCTTTTTTTCTCCACACATAGTGTTGTGTGTTCTTCCCAAACAACTCAATCTTGGTTTCATCTGTCCACAGTATATTTTGCCAGTAGTGCTGTGGAACATCCAGGGGCTCTTTTGCAAACTTCAAACGTGCTGCAATATTCTTTTTGGACAGCAATGGCTTCCTCCGTGGTGTCCTCCCATGTACTCCATTCTTGTTTAATGTTTTCCTTATTGTAGATGTGTCAACAAAAATGTTAGCATGTGCCAGAGATTTCTGTAGGTCTTTAGCTGACACTCTGAGATTCTTCTTTACCTTATGCAGCATTCTGCACTGTGCTCTTGCAGTCATTTTTACAGGACGACCACGCCTAGGGAGAGTAGCAACAGTGCTAAACTTTCTCCATTTGTAGACAGTCTGTCTTACCGTGGACACATGAACATCAAGGCTTTTGGAGATACTTTTGTAACCCTTTCCAGCTTCATGCAAATCAACAATTCTTGATCGTAGGTCTTCTGAGAGCTCTTTTCTGCGAAGCATGGTTCACATCAGACAGTGCTTCTTGAAACCAGTAAACCCAAAACAGATGTGTGTTTTTTAAGGGCAGGATAGCTGTCAGCAACACATCCAATATCATCACACTGATTGGACTCAAGGTTGGCTCACTCCTGGCTCCAATTAGCTCTGGGAGAAGTCATTAAGCTAGGGCCTCACATACTTTTTCCTCCCTGCACTGTGAATGTTTACATGTCATGTGCAGTTAAACCATGACAACATCTAATGTTTGTGTAGTATTATGTTCAGCAGACTGTGTTCTTCTATTGTTGTGACTTAGATGATGTTCAGAGTACATTTTATGCCCAATACATGCAAAACTCCACGTAATCCCAAGGGGTTCACATACTTTTTCTTGCAACTGTATATTTATTAATAATAAAAATCTGTGCAAAATGGTAATGGAATATAATAGGTGAAAAAAAATTAATACAAAATTCAAAATAACAGTACAATGATCTAATAAAAAAAATAGTTTCAAACCAGCAGTTATTTTCAAATATTAAAGTGTTACTAAAGCCAGGACCCTGCATTCACTATATCTGGTCTCCCACAGTACACACAACATGGAAATGCAATTATTTTAGTAAATATAAACTGCTAAATACCTTTTCTTATCAGCAGTTAGAGCAGTCTTGTGATTTCTATCAGTGTCCAGTCCAGCACAAGCTAAAGCTTGTAGGAGGAGTTTTCTTTCTGCTCTAGGAGGATGCATATCCCCTGACCTCTATTTGACCAGTGCTGATTTGCCCTGTTCTGATCACATGCACTCTCCCAAGAAAAAAAAAACATCTCTAGCAACACACACCATACTTAGTATGTGCATGCCTACAATTCAGTCTGGAGATAGGAGGTGGTCACTTGAAAAAGGGGAGGAACAGAGAAGAAAAGATCAAACTGCCTTTTTACACAATGCAGAGGATTAACCCCTTAGGTTCCACAGTGAGTATAACAAGCATGCTTTACTGCTTATACAGACTGATTTTACTGTAACACTTTAATGAATTAGAATCAACTGTCTAGAAATGCAATGTAGGAAACTTTCAGTAACTCAGCAGCATGTGACAACAGCTCTGCAAATTGACCACATGATCTCTCTACAACCAGATATTCAAAGCTCAACGTGTACCTTGGCATGAATTGGTTAAGAATACAATACACAGGTCAATCCTATCAACTTAGAATCTACCTGAGGTCAAGATCAAATGTTACACTAAATGCTCTACTTTCTCATATATACTAAGCTAAACTATTGACTAGAAGCTAAAATGATCTTTGGGGATATTTAAAATAAAATCTTTCTCCCAGAGAATTTAAATTAATTTATATTGCAGGTAAAATTATTTAACATCAACTCCTGTGCTAACCATAACCGTTATCAGACTAAACTGTTTAGCTGGAGATATAAGTGAATACAAGTCAGCTAAAGAACCATGAAAGTTATATTTACCAATATGGACTCTATAGTGTCAGTGATGTCAGCTTTCAGTCAGCTCATTTCAGAGTGTGCCTGTGTCCTTCTGTTGTCCCTTGCCTTCTGACTTGTCTTGTGATGTGTTGTGCTCCTGTCTCTATCTCCAAATTTTTTACCTCCCAAAAAACCTAGGCGGGCAAAACATATTTCACCTACTCATGATGCCATACTAGCTGTCATTTTCTCTACTAAATACCTGAAAGGGGCAGTGTAGGATTAGGAATCATTTGTGGTTTTTCTGACATCCCTTCTGTGTCAGGTCAAAAGTTGACCTTTAACCCTAGCTAGTACAAAAAACTAAATTAAGAGATAACTGCTCTTCTGCCAGGGCTCGTTTAGACAGACTGGAACCCATGTCACTTAAAATAATTACCTAAGTGATTTTGGAGAAAAATAAATTCTACCTATACATCTATACATGTTAGAGTTGTTGAAATCTTTTTGACTGAGATTTCTGAATTATCTCAGCAGTGCCTCCATACAGACGTTATAATATAATGAACTCAAACTTAATTATTTATAATGTTTTGAAATCATAATATCCACAATATACAATTATGTATTAATAGATAAAATATAGATGTATATGGAAACTGAATATAGTATATTGCTTAAGTAATCAATAGAGATGAGCGAATTATTCAAAAATTCGATTCGGCTGATTCGCCGAATTTGCGGGAGAAATTTGATTCGATGCGAATTTATTCGCTGCGAATCAGAGAGCCTTTATATTAGTGCAGAACACTGTACCTTTAATTTAAATGCCCTTGGAGTCTGCTGGGGAAGAGAAATAATATTGTCAGTCAGTATGACATGCAGATGAGTGCCGTCGATCTTAGAATCACCGCACACTTCACTCATTTGGGCAGTCACGGGCACGAAGAAGAAGCAGAAGAAGAAGAAGAAGAAGAATGAAAAGAAGAATGAAAAGAAGAATGAAAAGAAGAAGAAGAATGAAAAGAAGAAGAAGAAGAATGAAAAGAAGAATGAGAAGAAGAATGAAAAGAAGAATGAGAAGAATGAAAAGAAGAATGAAAAGACGAAGAAGAATGAAAAGAAGAAGAAGAAGAATGAAAAGAAGAATGAAAAGAAGAAGAAGAATGAAAAGAAGAAGAAGAAGAATGAAAAGAAGAATGAAAAGAAGAAGAAGAAGAATGAAAAGAAGAAGAAGAAGAATGAAAAGAAGAAGAATGAAAAGAAGAATGAAAAGAAGAAGAAGAAGAATGAAAAGAAGAATGAAAAGAAGAATGAGAAAAGAATGAAAAGAAGAATGAAAAGAAGAATGAAAAGAAGAATGAAAAGAAGAAGAAGAAGAATGAAAAGAAGAAGAAGAAGAAGAATGAAAAGAAGAATGAAAAGAAGAAGAAGAAGAATGAAAAGAAGAATGAAAAGAAGAAGAAGAAGAATGAAAAGAAGAATGAAAAGAAGAAGAAGAAGAATGAAAAGAAGAAGAAGAAGAATGAGAAGAAGAATGAGAAGAAGAATGAAAAGAAGAATGAAAAGAAGAATGAAAAGAAGAAGAAGAAGAATGAAAAGAAGAATGAAAAGAAGAAGAAGAATGAAAAGAAGAAGAATGAAAAGAAAAAGAAGAAGAATGAAAAGAAGAAGAAGAATGAAAAGAAGAAGAAGAAGAATGAAAAGAGAATGAAAAGAAGAATGAGAAGAATGAAAAGAAGAAGAAGAATGAAAAGAAGAAGAAGAAGAATGAAAAGAAGAATGAAAAGAAGAAGAAGAAGAATGAAAAGAAGAAGAAGAATGAAAAGAAGAATGAAAAGAAGAAGAATGAAAAGAAGAATGAAAAGAAGAAGAAGAAGAATGAAAAGAAGAAGAAGAATGAAAAGAAGAAGAATTCCAGTACAGGCAAAAAGTGTATCTGCAGAGAGCTCCGCTATTTCTGACAGTTCTCTGACAGTTCCTTCACATTACAGCGGTTGAAACATTGTATCTATTTATTTCCGAATAAAAACAATCTGTATCCTAAATGGAAACAAATAGATACAATGTTTCAACCGCTGTAAATGTGAAGGAACTGTCAGAGAACTGTCAGAAATAGCGGAGCTCTCTGCAGTGACACTTTTGCCGGCTGATCGGGAAAAATTCGATTCGTGCATCCGAAGTTTGCTAAAATTCGGATTCGGTGCGAATCGAATTTTTCCTAATATTCGAAACGAATTCCACTTCGCCAAGTTCGATTCGCTCATCTCTAGTAATCAAGTATTGACTTCATGCAATACTAATGATAATACAATTGACATTTTTTAGTAAAACAATCATGTCAAATAATAATAATAACACTTTATGCATTGTAAAGTTTAATATGCACTTTTTCCAGAGGTTCATGGAAAAAAAATCATTGTGAACAGTTCTTTTGTCCTTTGTTCAATCCAGGCATGGACTCATCCATTAATCTTACAACTTGGTATCACATCTAGTCTTTATCTTTGTAGCTGTCTGATACCACCATACAACCCTCCCCCCCCCCCAATTTATAACCTGGAAAATTATGGTGTTAGAATCTTTGTTCAGAAACCATGAAAATAGAATTTACAGAACAAAATGGCTTCCAGCATGCCCATGTAGAGATAAATTCAGGCCTTCCAGTTTAATTCTGAGCACAGAATATTTCCGACAGTACTGGGAGTGGTGAAGAAAGTTATATGGCTAATTAGGTTCTGAGGATAAGGTGTGCCAAGCCAGCTTTTTTAGACATAACACTTTGCAGACCACAGCATAAAGCAAATGCCTTTTAATGTTCACCCCTGGGACACAGGGCTTGGCAGTGACATTAGCTCAATCTGGATTGAGCTTATTTATGTGAAAGGAAAATATTGTGCCTCTAGTACAAACATCTTACTTTGCTTGCAATGTTTTAGTATTGTATAATTTAAAAAAAAATGGTCAGAATATACATTTAAGGAACTCGTTACCAAAGAACTACACAAGCTTGTTATTTCAAAATAACAAAAGTGCAAAAAACGGAATTAAATCCAGAACCAAAAATGTAATATATTGCAGTTTACAATCCTTAAATGTGGAGGCTGCATTAGTCTTCAGTTTTAGATTTTTTTCCTTTATTTTCCTCTGGTGGTCTGTACAGCAAGTCTGTTATTTTTCAACTTTGTTTAACCACTTTGCCTCTCACCCCCTATAGACCAGAGCAATTTTTACATTTCTGCTATGGGCCTGTTTATTCGGCAATAACTTTGTCATTATTTAAAGTGGAGTGCCACCCATTTTTACTAATTTGCCTTATATGATAGTCCCTGTGAAAAGAAGCACAAGTTGGAATTTTTTTTTTTTTTTTTTTATATATATACATACTTTTTTATCCTCTGCAAGCCTGCAGTTCCGGTCCCGACCACCTAGGCAATGACGTAGATAGGCGATTTGCAAGGTCTTCTGGGATGTCGTTTCCTGTATCCCAGGAGTCCTTTGGGGGCGGGAACTTTATCCGTCCCCACCATTGCTATGGCAACCTGTACTGAACACGTCGCGCCGAGCATTGTCTGTACTGCGCATGCGCGAGAACGAATGTTGCATGCTGGGATAGCCAGCAGTACGAATTCAGGAAGTAAAGACCTGCGGGCTTCAGATGCTCACAACCGTCATGGCGACTGTCTACTTCACAGATCCTGGTAAATATGAACGATTTGCAAAGTAATTACAATGATTTTAATATTGCATTATGCCAATTCTGAATGATATCTGTAATGTCATCGTGGATCTGCTTTTTAAAAAAAATTTTTGGGGGGACTGGAACTCCGCTTTAAGATAAAAACATAATACATATATTGTTTTTTTAATGACAAACAAGGCTTTCTTTTCATGAATATTGTCTTGCAACAGTGATTATTTTCCCTCAATCCTTAAACAGTTAAATATAAAAATGTGTCAAACTGCATTTTTCTTTTTTTTTTTGAGCAGTGTTAGTTTAAAAATAAATAGTGTTAGTTAAATTATGATTCTGGTAAAAAGCATTGCAAAGTTATTTACAAATAAAGTAAACTGTTTTTTTTTTTTTTTTCAATTTTGCACTTTTTTAAATGTGAAATGTGTAAATATATGTTAAAGGTGTAAAAATATTAACAAACAAAACAAAAAGTTTAATTATTAGTTAATAAAATAAGTAGTGAAAAATGCAGCGCAACAATAAAATACATGCAATGGTGCTATTTGTGTTAACTGCACCTGCAAGATGCGTGTTAATCAATAGTGACAGTAAATAACACTCCTCCGTGCTTGTGAATACTTAATAATCAATATATGCTACTGATCGTATATTCCAATGGATACATGTAGACCCACACAAAATCAGTAA